CTCACGGTGAAGGGAGTTCCTCGTGGAAATTCTCATTCATCACTCTCGAACGCGTGGTGACGGGATTCCTCATCTGTTCGCTTCTAGGGACCGGCATCAAATCCCTTGGACAAATGCTGATGATTCTAAATTTTCAGCTTCCTAAAAAATTAGTTCTGTCAGTTTCATGGGGGAAATGTACACTGCCCAGAGAGAGCGTTGTCCCTGTATTACACAGGAACACCTGGATAAGATACCCTAAGAATCCGAATTCCTGTCTGTAACTGGCACTCTCTGTTTACGGCTGCCGGTGAGGCAGTTCCTGGCGCTGGTGTGACGGCAGCAGGGCCTACGGTGTCTGAAGGTGGAAAGAATATTCAGAGATTTAAATATCCAGATAAAACCTCAGACTGAATGTAGTAAAGGAAAAAGTCCTCCCTTTTCAAGTTGCTCTGCTGTCCTGCGGTGTGCTGCAGCTCGCTTCAAACTTTAAAGTGGCAGAAGTCAAAAATCAAAGTACTCGGAAATCAAAGTACAAACTCCAGTGGATGTCTTAAATGACCAAAGTTCAGTTTTACATCAGTCAGTGCACTCTGACAACTTTGCAAGCAAAACAAATGAACCTCTGAAAACTTTACTTACCACTTTTACGTAGCGGTCTCCCAAAATCTGCAAGCTTTCACCGTCTGGAAAAAAAAAGTCACACATGCAATGCTAGTTCCAGTGCGATCCAGTGTAAGCATAAAGATAACATCCTTACGACTACAGTTTATAGGCTTGTTTCCTAACCAAAAAACCCCAAGAATATTCCTTCTAACAGTAACACGGCTGTCAAGGTTAGCACTTTGCCCGTGTTATCCAGACATCATAAACCAGCCACGTGACCTGTCCTCTGGCAGATAAGTAAGGAAGACATTTTAAGAGAGCAACAGAATTTCTGGAGATTAGTAGACTAAATGTATCCGATCTTCCAGGAATGAGGAACTTGCTATAAAATGGGTGCAGAAGTTTTTTGCAAATGTGGAATCAGCTTGGACTGAGACATTGCAAAGTTGGTTGGAGGAAAAGCCTTAAGAACTACTCAAGCAATTTGGTGCTTATGATGTAAAACAAGTGCTCTGTACTTAAAAAAAATCAAGCAGAAATTATTATTTGACATTTTGATCTCTTTGTGATCTATATGAAGAGGGTTACTGCTTTTCTAGCTGTAGAAAATATTTAAAGTTATATTTCAAAACAAGTGATTTTTAAAATAACTTTATTAGTGCCAGGATGCACCAGCAGAAATGAAAATAAGCTAAGTAAAGACATGAACAACAGAAATTATGAAATCTGTTTTTCTGTGTTTTCTTTCTATGGAGGTCTTACAGTGTTTAAAATACTAGCTGAGCTCAAGCAAGAGCCCCCTCTCAGTGGGGCTGTGGGGGGTTGTCTCGAGACAGAGCAGTCTGCCCTAAACCCAGAATGAATATCCCAAGGCTGGAATTTTCCATTCTACTCATCTGGCACTCTTGTTGCTTTTCTGGGAGGCAGTGGCATGGCTTGAAGTGCTCATGGATCTTTGCATTTATGATTTTATCATTGCTGCCATTAAGTCGTCAATCCTCCACATTTCTCAAGAAGACCTCGTGTTCAAGATCTGAACTGTTTATGCTCTAACATCACAGATTTAACAGTGTACAATGTGAATAAACAACCTTTTGAAGAAAATTAACGCTGGAGTAATCATTTGTTCTGTCATGTAAGGGAGCTTTTACCACATAGACAATTCGGTTCCAATTCCATTAGAAGGTAGTTTTGGGGTCAATGTTCTAGTCATGATTTTTTCCGCAGATAAATAGATAAATGCTTGAGCTGGGAAGGATAAAAAGAGGATAATCTTGTATTTGCAGAACATTCATTCTAACTTTGTATGAGACAAGCCATTGTTGATCACTTCCAGAGTAGAAGGAAATGGAAAGGAGAGACTCAACCCTAAAATACTAAACTATGTTTTGATTTCTTTTTCTTTTATGCATATTGGACAGAGATTTGAGCTCAGACTTCTTCTTTTTCATAGCAACTTTACAATGAGCCAAGTTGATTTCAGTCAACCTGGAATCATAGAATGGTTTAGGTTGGAAGGGACCTTGAAGATCATCTAGTTCCAACCCCCCTGCCGTAAGCAGGGACACCTCCCACCAGATGAGGTTGCTCCAAGCCCTGTCCAGTCTGGCCTTGAAGTCCTCCAGGAATGGAGCTTCCATAACTTCTCTGGGCAACCTGGGCCAGTGCCTCACCACCCTCACAGTGAACATTTTTTTCTACTATCTGATCTAAATCTCCCCTCTTCCAGTTTGAAACCATTCCCCCTTGTCCTATCACTACATGCCCTTGTAAAAAGTCCTTCCCCAGCTCTCCTGTAGGCCCCCTTTAAGTACTGAAAGGCCGCTGTAAGGTCCTCCCAGAGACTTCTCTTCTCAAGACTGAACAGCCCCAGCTCTCTCAGCCTGCCCTCATAGGAGAGGTGCTCCAGCCCTTGGAGCATCTTTGTGGCCTCCTCTGGACCTGCTCCAACAGGTCCATGTCTTTCCTACATAGGGGGCTCCAGAGCTGGAGGCAGTACTCCAGGTGGGGTCTCCCCAGAGCAGAGTAGAAGGGCCAGCATCCCCTCCCGCGCCCTGCTGACCACGCTT